TCCTTCCTTCCTTCCTTCCTTCCTTCCTTCCTTCCTTCCATCCATCCATCCATCCATCCATCCATCCATCCATCCATCCATCCATCCATGCATGGTAAAGCCCAATGGAGTGTAGAGAAGTTGAATAGACCCAGCCTTCTTTCCTTCCTTCCTTCCATCAAACCTACTCTAATTCAGTTTGAGGCCCTCCGGCTTCCATAAATTTTAGCCATCTTAACCATGCTGATTAGTAATTATGGGACTCTAACACTTTTAGAGGGCACCAGACTAAGGAAGGCTGCAGTGTTATCATACCCTTACCAAAGCACTGCCATTCATGCTAATGTAGCTTGGGATATGAAAACTTCAATTCTCTATTCTAAATTTCTTATTTTTATCCAAATTCATTTTTGTAGATTTGTTTAATATTGGTATTACAGTACTAATTGTTGGTTTAGTCTTGCAGGAAACTTTCTCTGATATATTCAAAAGTACAGGGGTTTTGGAGGCAGCCATGATATCTGGACCAAACCAGGAGCGTGCCATGTGCTTTAATATATTGCCATTCAGCTATGCTTGGCAAATTGTATTCTTTTTGTAATCTCTCAAAAGTTTTAGGAGTATTATTGATAATCCACTGATTAAGTATAACTACCCTATATTATAAAATCATTGGTTTCAAGCCATAAGGAATATAAAATATATTTATTACTATCTTAAGGTAAAGTTAATTCAATAAAAATATTTTGCAGGTTAATTGGATTACCTAATGGATATCTAAAAAAGCTTGCCCTTCTATTGGAGATGCAATACATTGAAAGATGTTTTACTACATATGTTTCGGTCATATCCTTATGGATTGGATATTCTTTTTATAGTGAACCAGATTCTTGGGAGGAAATTAAAGTTGAAGGACACTAATGTATTATATTATATTCCAAAAAACTGGAATTTGTCAATTTATGAAGAGCTTTGGATCTATTATACTTGGATAATTGCCCAGAAGATGTGTTCCTGGAAAGACTCTTGTGTATCAACTTACTAAAAGTTGGATCACTGACATTTCTCAGCTATTAGCCTTTGACCTGGCTCTTTATTGGCAAAGGAAATCTGTAACCATGCACACTTCATGGTAATAAACATGGTTAATTTCTGGATTTTTTGTAAGTCACTCTTATTTGTATTCTATATGATGTAAATTCAGTCAAGCAGACTCATGTTTTCTATAAACTACCTCACTATTATAACAGCAATTCATTTATCAATCAAACATATCAGAGGTTAACAGATTATTCCCTATAAAATCTAGCTGACTTAGTTCTTGTCTATATACATTGATTATTAACGAAGTGTATTATAGTTTTTCAGCATCTCTGAGCAACAAAATGAAGTTACACCAACCACAAGCAGCTGTTAATACTAGATGGGTAATAGACTGACAAAACAAGATGGAAGAAGCGTGAATTATATCATCCATAATAGTTATATCTATATGTTTAGAATGAGAACTGACCTATTATCAATAATCATTGAACCCCTGGTCTCTAAAGCTGAAATGAAAAACAAAAATCAACATATAATTGGATTAATTATTCAAAATATTTGTGGAACATAGACTTGTGAGTTACACCCATTTATAGGCAAGCCTGTTTTCTGGCCTTTATATAACTCATCTCATTTAAAAAGATTAGAAACTGAGCATACAGAACAGAGACTAAGCAATATCCCAGAAGGATAGTTTACTACTCTGGCTGGGACTTTACACACCTCAGTCTATTTTGAGCCTTCCACCCCTCACCCAAACATGTATCAAATTAAACTATCTGCAAACATACATCCCACAAATAAGTCAGGAACTGTCTATCTCAAGATTCCTTACTGTGGAGGTTGCATACATTAATATTAGCAGGAATTTACACTCACTCACTGAGTACTGTATGTGACATGCATTCACAACTTTGATTACAGAAACATTAATTAGATGTAGTACTTCTCATCATGGTAAAACTGAAATCATGGGAGCTGTGAATTATGGAAGTTATCGTCCCATACACTGGAAAGATTGTGGCAAGCAGAACCTTATGGTGTTAATTAAGCTTCAGAAAGTGCAAAATACTGAACATTTCAGAGATCTCTGACCTGTGTAATTATTTGTCTCTTTTCAGACAAAATCAGATCAAAGATGTTCTGACTTCATTTTGTTTGTATAGACTGCAGGATCCCTTTTTTTTCAGCACAAAATATCTGTTACCTTGGCACGAGCCTTTAATTATTATCATATTTTTGAGAAAAATATGCAGCCCTGATTAATAATGTTACTATTACCATTACTATTACTAAACATGGTCATATACATTTATATACATAAATTATGCACACTAGACTGATCCAATCCAATATCACGTTACAGATAGGTGGCTAGAGCTGCAGATTTTAAAATGGTCCAGAAGAACTGGGAAACGTATAAAAACCTAAGCTAAGGATTCCGCTTCCAAACTTACTGGAGAACATGACATCGGATAAAGAAGCTATTGCATCCACCAACCAACTCATTCTTCTTGCAGACTTCCTGAAATGAATACTTGAATATATTGATTCCATGTATTAGGACTAGATCTTCTTTCTGCTATCTATCCTTAAAGGGCAATAAGAAAACTCTTGATGAGGGCATAGTTACCCCACAGAACAAGATGCAAGACAGTGGCCAGAATAATTTGCTTAGGTAGACAAAATAGCTTAAAGGCCAAATGTGATATAATTGTAGCAAAGCAATTAGGAACTGGGTTTTTTTTTTTTTTTTTTTTTGGTTAAGTAAATAGTAGTCAAGGGGAAACCTGAGCAAACTCAGAACTGTGAGGAACAGAAATTTAACTCTTTCCTTCCCTGTCACAGACTTTTTAAAAGACTTATTTACATTTTCTGGGAAAAATGTATTGGCTGACCCCAATACAGGATTCCTATCAACATATATTTAAAAGGATTCAGATTGTTTGCATAACGATTACGTCTCAAACTCAAGCCTTCTCTTCTGTCTTTTTTTTCTTTCAAATTTTAGTTCACACCTATTCTAGCATCTTCTCCTTGCACTATAGAATTCTTCCCCAGAACATTTTAAACTGCATAGCCTTAGTTTCAAAACCACTTCCGCCTCCTCTTCCAGTCCTAAAAAACTGCTGGTCATTTCAATACTTCATCTAACATTCCATTTCCCCACATCGACACACACGCTACTTACAGTTCTGTTCTGAGTCTACTTCTTCCCAAGCTCACTTTAAAAAACCCAGCTTCTTCATAGGCATCTTCTGCCAACACGCCCAACATATGCTTGCTCACACTCTTATGCACGTACAGTTAGAGTAATCCCTGCCAACTATGCCATTTTCTTTTCTCTTTGTTCAGAAACTAGGTATGTAGCACCCTGCTGCCCCAGCTGATCTCAAAAGTTACATGGTTATATTCATACAGTGACTGAAATCAAGCTCAACTAAGAGGAAACATTATCTTTTTACCTATTGACTTGGTACCCAACACTGTTTTTTCTTGTCAGTGAAATGGATGTCACAACTTTGTTAGGCTTTAATTTTTTTTTTCCAAGTGTTTTGAGAGCAATAATAAAACTGGACCATTGATAAATATCGATACAATGATGAAATCAAAATTTTAATCATCCTAGTCAGATATCTGAATGAACAGAAAGGAAAGATGGAAGGTACATTTAACTGGGCCGTATATTTTAAAAAGTTCAGAAATAAATTTTTCAGTTTGGCTGCAATTTAGGAGCGCTCACAGAAATCAATGTGTTTCTTGTCTAGGACTGCACTATTTAATTAAAGTTTGGATTAAATGCTGCAAATGACCCAACACAAGAAGGGGGCTCACAACAAAATTCAGTTTACACATATGTACTCGGAAGCAGGTCCCAGAGATTTACTTTGGAGTTGTTCTCATGGGTTTGGGATTTTTGGCTTTTTGTAATGCAAATCCCTTCCAATAAAACATCCCTCCCCCATTCTCTCTCCCCCTCCGAAATGTTAATAAAATTAAGAGGACCCAAAGCTGTAATTTAAGCCAAGACCCTACTGTAAAAATTGTTTTTAATTTAAGATTAAGCCCTGGAATAGTTGAAGTACAAGACTATCCATATCTCTAAGAAGGTGCAATACCTCTATGGAACCACGGTCATTTTTTTGACACGCCTGCAATCACGACAAAAGATCCACAGAAGAGTCTTGAATCGAGTGGATGTCATTTCTGGCAAAGGAGCCGCATTTTGAAATGAAGGACTTGCCCTTTAAAGACACGGTACGTTTCTCCCTTTAGCGTTTAGCTGTCCTTTGCCCTCGGAGTTGCAGCCACACCACCCAACTGAGTTTATATTATAACAAGTTCGCCAGGATTAAACCGAGCGCGGCTCTTCTGTTCTCTCCTACCAGAACTTTTTACGAGGCGCTTCAATATTCCGTTTGTTATTTATCTGTCCCAAAGCGGGGTTGCTGTATGATCGTATGAATTATTACTTACCAGGTTGTTCACGAGCAATGGAGTTCCTCGAACTTCGAAAGCACGTTTCAGCCTAGTTTACGGTTTTGTTTACCTACTTACAACCGGGCTGAAAATGCGCAGAAAACCCTTCGGCCCGCCCTCCCCGAGTGACCAGAAACGGCTATGTGGACAAGCTTTGGGGGCACGGCTTTGAGACAGAAGGCAAAGGATTTAAATCAGGCCAAGACTACTGTCATCCGAGAGAAACTCTGCGCCCCAGTTCGCCACTCCCAACACCCGCTCGGCACCCGGGGGCAAAAAGCAAGCACCGCAAAGCATGACCTCCGGCCCCTCAGCCAAGCAGGCTCCTGGCGCTCCCTTTACCTGTGCAGAGAGAGGCGCAAGCTGTCAGGACAAGCGCCGCAGCGCCCAGCCCGGAGCGGAGCGCTCGCCTCATGACAGCACATGGGAGAAGTTCTGGCAGGTGGGAAGCGCGCCACGGCCGCGGCAGGAGCGAGCCGGGGGGCGCGCAAGCCGGGGAGGCGAGCGTCCCAGAGGTTGGGTCCCCCCCCCACCCCTCCCCCCCACCCGCGCGACGCGGAGCTCTTGCCACCAGCGACTCTCCCGCTGGAAGAAAGAGGCGGGCATGGAGTTTCTCCCCCGGCTCCGCCTTGCTCGGACACACCCCTTTGCCCTGACAGCTGTTTACCAGCGGAGGGTTTGCCCGGGCTGAAGAAGCCGCCTAAAGGGTCAGTGCCAACAGGCGGGCGGGCTGAAAGGCACCACTCGAGGCAGCTTAGGGTGGCGTGCCCTGGCAGCGGCTTTCCAGCAGGCAGGCGTTTTTTCCGCCAGCCCCACCACGAAGGAGACGGTGGATCGAAGGGTTGGTTCCACCCCTGGGCAAAGGGCCGTCAGTGGCCGCCGGGCAGTTTCCCGCGGGTAGCTGCAGGAGAGGCAGTGGGAGCGCGCCAAAATTACCGCCTCTCGACCCCGCGCTATCCTCGCAAGCACGCTTCTTTTTCTGGACGCCGCTTTTATATAAAAGCACAGACGATAAGCGGAGCGGTGGCCGAGATAGTCGGACTAATTGAATACATGCTTTTTTCCTGAAAAGTTGACTTTCCCGCTAGCGAGTGTGTTTAGGACTGCAGCCTGCACGCCCATCTCAATTTCACCCAAACTCAAAGCGGTGCACCCTCACCAAGTATCTGAGATTAAACGCGAGATCGTTATTTAGCAGTGTTTTTGCCTTTTCCTTCCTTTCAAGTAGGGGCTGGCTCTCTCTCTGTCTGTCTGTCTGTCTGTCTGTCTGTCTGTCTG